ACAAGGACATCCTCATTGGTGTGTCCTGAACAGCCCAATCACTCTACCATGCAGCACTGTGTGAAATTTACCTCTGACCAGCACACAGTTCAAAACCACTAAGGGCCAATATGGGAGGGGAGGGTATATGTAGATATTAAACAAATATCTTCAGCCCTACAATGTCCGATGCAAACAGAGATTGTTCCTTATTTAAATATTGCTATTATTCAAATAGAAATTGGCCTCACCCCAAGCCCCAGAAGTGAGCACACACCTGACTGCAAAGTTTGAGGAAGTTTGGATTCAGGTCCAGACTTTGTGGATCATGCCCATCTCTAAATATAAACTTGCAGAGAATATCTCCTTTAAATCGCCCTCTAGGAAAGGAGGGGATGGTGCCTTTTTTTTCTCATTTTCCCTGTAGGCCAATTTATTAGGAGTGTTATTGACTATGACCCTGTTTCCAGGGTTAGACTTCAGATTACCTTGATTTGGTGCAAATTACTGTGAAGCAACTAGGAAATACTGCAATTTCCATTAAATACCAAATCAGGGTTCACCTAATGACATGAAGCTTACATCTGACAGGTTGAGGGGTCCCTAGAAAGCATAGCAACCAGGTGTTTTGTTTTGGGTGGCAATCACCTAGGTGTTGCAGGATTGTTTGACTCTGTGCTCCATTCCCTGATGCTCTGATCAAAGGAGCACAGTTACGTGTTGGCTCTTCTCTGTGGTGTATTGCAGCCTCCTGTGCCCTGCCATATGTAGAGCTTGCAGACTGGAAGCCCTGGCTCTCAATGAATGGGGCAGTAATAAAGTCTGACAGTTCTAGGAAGTAACAACTGTGTTTTAGATTGTTTTGATTTGTTAAACCACAAAGTAGATTAACATGTTGATTGAAGGGTTGGTGTCCTGGAGATGAAATCTATCATACAGTTTATTATTGAGCTGCAAGGGAAGCACTGAAATTTTTGGCAGTATTCCAGCCTGTCACCGGCGGGACATCTACCATGACAGAGATTGGGCATGATTTTTGACTTGAAGGCCTTTAGTTATTTAAACTTTACCCTTTTACCCCCATGGTTCTGGCTACCAGTTAGTTTGAACCTGTTCTACAAGTAATACAGTACAAAGATATTGTACAATACAAGCATGCATTATCTTTACTGACCAGTAAATTTTTAGCTTCTGACAAGTGGTGGATCAGTTAAGTAATAATATTCGTTAAGGATTTTGGAATATGTCGGACTCTGTTACTTTTTAATAACCCCTGCGCATCTGGACTCCCCCATACCCTGCCCCCCCTGCTGAGCCTCAAACCCCCCCCCCCATGCACTCAGAACCCTCCATTCAGTGTCCCACATATGAGCCTCATCCCCTGCATTTGAGGCTCCCTGCACCCAGACCCCCCCTCTGCATCCAGATCCCACCCCTTCACCCAAACAGAGGGAGGTGTGGAGGTTCCTGCAGCCGGGGGAGGTTTCTGGGGGAGGTCTGACCCAGCCCCAGCTCCAGCCTCGGGCCTGGTTCTGGCTGCTCCTTGCAGGGGAAGAGCAAGTCTGGTCCCCCCCAGCCCAGCTAGGACTAGCAGCCGAGCCATATTTCCTATTTTTCCTACTTGGGGGGATAGTTTGCTCTTGTGCCCGTAATAATGTCTCTGAAAAATTGCCAACTCTCGAAGTGTTTTTCCCTTTAAACTTGCTTCACATGGGATCTTGCCTACCAATTCCCTGAGTTTGCTAAAGCCTGCCTTCTTGAAATCCATTATCTTTATTGTGCTGTTTTCCCTCCTACTATTCCTTAGAATCATGAATTCTATCATTTCATGATCACTTTAATCTAAGCTGTCTTCCACTTTCAAATTCTCAACCAGTTGCTCCCTGTTTGTCAAAATCAAATCTAGAACACCTCTCCCCTAGTAGCTTTGTCCACCTTCTGAAATAAAAAATTGCTCTAATACATTTCAAGAACTTGTTGGATCATCTGTGCCCTGCTGAGTTATTTTCCCACCAGATGTCTGGGTAGCTGAAGTCCCCCCACAAGTCCTGTGCTTTGGATGATTTTGTTAGTTGTTTAAAAAAAGCCTCATCCACCTCTTTTTTCCTGGTTAGGTGGTCTGTAGTAGACCCCTACCCTGACATCAACCTTGTTTTTTACTACTTTTATCCTTACCCAGAGAATTTCAACAAGTCTGTCTCCTATTTCCCTCTCAGCTTCAGTCCAAGTATTCATTTTTAGTTATAAAGCAACACCACCTCCCTTTTTTTCCCTGCCGGTCCTTCCTGAGCAAGATGTACCCTTCTATACCATTTGTTTATGTTATTATTGTCCTAAGTGAAGTACTTTGCACGTGTCTTTGTTGAATTTCATCTTGTTGAATTCAGAACAATTCTTCAGTGTGTTGAGGTCTTTTTAATTCTAATCCTGTCGTCCAAAGCGCTTGCAACCCCTTCCAGCTTGGTGTCATCCGCAGATTTTATAGGCATACTCTCCACTCTGTAATCCAAGTCATTAATGACAGTATTGCATAGTACCAGACGCAGGACCTCACAAGATATGCCTTCCCAGTTTAATAGCAGACCGTTGATAACTACTCTTTGAGTATGGTCTTTCAGCCAGTTGTGCACGCATTTTATACATGTACAAGAAACCTTGATCCACATTTTTATATTATATTATATAAATATAAATAATATATTATATTAGAACATTGCCTCAGTGCATGACATCATGTGCTCTTTTGTTTTTCTAGGGTCTGTTTTTTGAAAGATGCTAAGATTCCAGGTGATCAGCACCTTCCGGAATTGGGCTCTTCATCCTCTATGAATTGGTGACTTTTGTAATGTGCCTTTGAGGAAATATGTATGATAACACAAATATACATATTCCAAAGAAGCTGTACAAGCACAGGTTCCCAGCAAATGAACTATTGGAATTTGTAAAACTGAGTACAGTTAGTAACTAGTTCATTATTGCTATGTATGCTTGATACTGTATTTTACAAGTTAATGGTGACAGCACCAACTTCCTGGAGTAATGTTAGTTTTCTCTTGGCTGTAAATCTGGGAACAAAATAATTAGACTACAGAAGAGGAGGAAACCTCAAATAAAAAGGGATTTACATTTATTGCATTTTGCAGGGTTGTTTTCAGAAATAATGCACATGTCTTGAGACTTTGTTTCTTATCAATTTTATAGAGCTCAGGCCTCTTAACTGCACTGCTTTATAATGACTTGTTCTTGGATACGGAGTTAGTATCAGCACTTTCAATGAAAACAGGCATGTTACAAAAGGGTCAGGTTTCACGAGACCGCAATAGACTTGTAAAAACTGATTTTACTGGCACAAACAAGTCAAGAATTAGGAAGAAATCAGAGATTTGCATAAAAAAGCAAGATGTAGAAGGAGTGGGTATTGAGCTATGTTGAAGAACAGCTTATGAACTGGGATTGATTGGAAGTAAAAAAATATATATATATTTAAAACCAACCTTGTAACATTAATAAATAGGAAGCTATTTGTGAAAATATTGTGCAACTTTTTGCATAATCATGATCTCTAGAATCCCTAAGACCTCATTCACACGGAGATAGCCTTGTTTTAAAAGGCACTCAAAGGAAAAAAAATCTACTTAAAATGTTTGTCTTTGTAACTGACATATACCTTGGATTATTTAAATAAAAATAGTTGGTAAATCTGTTAGCAATCCATCATTAATGCAATTTTATTTTTTGCATGTCACTGCTCTTCCTTTTTTTCAGTTTCACTTGTGTCCCTGGTGCATGCTACTTTTAAGTTCTCTTGCACCAGCTGCAATGTATGTGTTGCATGGAAATACATTATTGTCACTGGCATTTTAAAATGTTATGAACATAGTTCCCTTTAAAACTAGGAGCAAGTGGATTGTACAACTTCTAACAAAACCTAAGTATCGATTGCCTGACAATCCTCTTAAATAACATCGCAAACAAACACCAGGAAATTGTGGGCATAATCCTGCAGTTCCTATGCAGACCAAACATCTTTTGAAGTCAATGGGAGTTCTATCAGCAAAGAGACTGTAGGATTATACTGGTCTCTTGTTTCATCACGCAATTCCCACCTGTCAGGGTTCCCTCCCCACTCTGAACTCTAGGGTACAGATGTGGGGACCCGCATGAAAGACCCCCTAAGCTTATTTCTACCAGCTTAGGTTAAAACTTCCCTAAGGCACAAATTCTTTGCCCTTGGAGGGTACGCTGCCACCACCAAGTGATTTAACAAACAATCAGGGAAAGGAGCACTTGGAGTTCCTATTCTGCCAAAATATTCCCCCAAGGCCTTACATCCCCTTTCCTGGGGAGGCTTGAGAATAATATCCTAACCAAATTTGTACAATTCTACAGGTGTCTTTTCTGGAACTGAGGAAGGATAGTAATTACTGCTGTTATAAAGTCAGGACCAAAACTTAACTGGCAGGGGCACAGTTTGTTTGTGCAAAGCTCCAATTGTAATGAATGGGAATTTACCCAGAGTTGGGATAGTCGGATCAGGCTCCAGATTGGAGTTCATTTGTAAACATACAGTTGTACCAATTTAACGAGAGGTCTTTTTTTCTTTTAGTTAAAGCAGAGCCCATTTTGTTTATAGATATACTTAATTTAGTTTAAGAGTGGTTTATTTTGATTTAGTTTAATACTTTATTTTTTTTATTTTTTAACAGCTACGCTAAACCAAAATAAGCCACTCTTAGATCATATTATGTGGGTCCAGAGGCAAACTTGCACTGGTTTAACTAAGTTTGTCTAAAAGCACACCTTCAGTTAAAACAATACAAGTTTAGTGTAGACAAAGCCTAAAAGATGCTTGCTTTTTTAAATGTAGGGAAGTGGACCATTCTGGGCAATTTTTATGCAAATTAATCTGCAAGTACATTTCTTATGTAATCTGATGTTTAACTTCACTGGATTCTAGTATGGTTTATTTGTTTCTAATTTATTTTTCTTCAGCATTTTAATTCTTCATTCTTTGTTTTTAGCCATTTCTGCATTTGAAGTCCAACCACTTTCAATTGAGGTCCAAGAAGGTGGAGTGGCTCGGTTTGCTTGTAAAATAACAGCAAACCCTCCTGCCGTAATCACATGGGAAGTGAATCGAACAACCTTACCTCTAGCCTTGGACAGGTATGTAGATTTTTTACATTTTGGAATGATATTTACTCTGTGTGCTCATTTTGAGTCTGTCATTCTTAAAACCACAGTCTGAATGGAGAATCTTACCCTTTCAATGCCGTTATTGATAACAAAGCACTAACTGCACTATACCCCAGATGTGAACATCTCAGAATCATTAACAACCAGAATAACATTATATGTCTGACACAGAAACTGGGACTGCAGTCCAGACTTTCAGAATAAATAAATAAATCCTGGCACCACTTAATCATGTGAGTAACTTTTATATAAAAGAGTAGTCCCACTGATGTCAATGAGACTACTTATTTCCATAAAGTTACTCACATGAATAAATATCACAGAACTGAAGCCTTATTTAATCATTTTCTCACTCAAAAGATATCAACAAAGGAATAGAAAGCCCATCTATGTTTATTTTTAAGGATTTTTTTTTTAAGTTTCAAGATACTCACTGGACTGTTAATTAATCAAACAAATTATTAGGAGATTGTGAGAAGTGGAATCATCAGGAAATTGCTGCCTTGCACTACTCGCTATAGAATGAAAAAATTGAGCCATCTCTGGCCTGGAGCCATGACTAAAGTAAAAGGGCGATGTGTAGTCATGGGGTGCTGTGCGGGTGGGCGGGTTTGGCTGCTGGAGCAATTTGAATTGGAGGAATTTTTCGCAAGTGGTATGTATGAGGTTTGCTGTGAGAAAGCTAGTGTTGGGCATACTTTTCCCGACAGGTATGATAAAGAATTATGGTATCTGGGTAAATTGGGCTGGAACACTTAATACTATTGAATTCCTTCTCAGTAGTGCTTTTCCTTTGACCTGATCATCACTTAACTCACAGCATGCTCCCAATAGATTTTTCTTTGTCCCCCTACCCCTTTCTTTGCTGCATTCTTCCCCCTCCTCCCCCCGGCAAACTTTCTACTTCACCAGATAACTCCTGTTGACTGTCTGTGTTCACTCTTCCCTGGTTGCAACAGAGGGAGAAAAAGGAGAAGAGTTGGAAGCATAGTAGATGCAATTACAGGCAGCATGGAGTGTGTTTCTCTAGAGATCAGATATTCACTTGAACTGGAAATCACCACTGAAAACTAGTTAACGTTTTTGAAAATATTTGACTATGAATCCTCAGACCCACCAATCTGAGAGTAATAGGCTGAATAATGAGGCGGTTTGTCTACACTAAGGGCTTGTCTACACTACCTGCCAGATCGACAGGCAGTGATCGATCCAGCGGGGGTCGATTTATTGCGTCTAATATAGACGCGATAAATTGACCGCTGAGCGCTCTCCCGTCAACTCCAGTACTCCACCAGAATGAGGAGCGCAAAGCAGAGTTGACGGGAGAGCGTCAGCTGTAGACTTACTGCAGTGAAGACACCGTGGTAAGTAGATCTAAGTATGTCTACTTCAGCTACGCTATTCATGTAGCTGAAGTTGCATATCTTAGATCAACCCCACGCGTAGTGTAGACAAGCCCTAAGGGTGCCGAACAATGTTTACAGGTAAATTCCTATGCTTTCATCAGTGGGGGATGGGGCATGGAGCAGATTTCCCTGATAGATCATTGAAGGTAAGGAATACAGAGAGGTGAGTCATGTGTTTAGAAGTTTTTGTGAGGTTCCTGCCAGCCATTTCAGACTGATGTGGTGATTGCTCTCAGATAAGTCAGTAAATTGTGGTCTGTGTTCTTTTCTACAATAAATAGAATATTCATAACTATACTGTATTTTTGTTTTCCTGACAGGATAACTGCTTTACCAACAGGAGTTTTGCAGATCTATAGTGTTGAAAAGAGGGATGCTGGGAATTATCGATGTGTTGCTACAACTGTAGCCAATAGACGGAAAAGTGTTGAGGCAGCACTAAGTGTTATTCCAGGTACACATATATAATCCCTTCATTTAACATCTTCCCCATATTTGATAGCCTTGTACTTAATAGAATCTACAAAATACAAACGTGCCTGCAGTATAGTGCTCTAATTGTTCTTGATGCATGTATTTTGAAAATGACCCATTAGCTGTGGAAGTAACAGCTCCTTTTCCCCACAAATTCTTCCCCTCACCGTCCTCTTGTCCTTTCCTTAATATACATTATTAGCAACATCACAATTAAACAATGTGTTTCTGTTGTAATTTTAACTTTAGGCATGACCTTTAAGCTGCCTCATTTTTAACATATGGTTATCATGGTTTATTTCTTGATTGATTGGATTTTCATATGATCCTTTGGATTTGAATTGAATCCTCTGCATCATCTTTGTTTTTTAAAGCCTTAGACTTGAAGCCATTCCAGAAGCCAGCCATTATAGCTGGTCCTCAGAACATTACAGCATCTCTTCATCAGACTGTCATCTTGGAGTGTGTTGCTACAGGGAATCCAAAGCCGATCATCTCATGGAGCCGTTTAGGTAGGCATTAAAATGTCAACAATTAGGTTATTATTTGGGTTTTGTGTATGCCATGGATTAGTGAAAAAGGTTGGGATGAGTGAAATAAGTGAAAAGCATTCTGCACAATCTTTCCACAATGTTGTAAATAAGCCTTCAGGTGTTTTTTGGCACTTAGGATTTACATACCTCCTGCTGTCAATTCTGCACTGCCCCTGGTATGATATTGACAAGGTGGAGCATGGGATGACCTTTGGGGACTTTGTGACTAGAGTAGACTCAGTGGTGGAGTCAGACAGATTTGAGTGGTTATGTACCACAAAACAAACGGTCCTGCAAATTCTGCCCCTCACCTTCCTCCGAGGAATATACAAATGCGGTTTGGGGTTCAAGTCACATTGAGCCTTAATCTGCCCCTAAGTAGAATGACTGGGAAGAAGGGGGGGAGGGAATTTTGCTGTAACTAATATTGACAAGTAAGTCTCACTCTTCTACAAGAATACGTTTTATTTCTTCCCTCTGCACACATGCCTAATGTTCTTTACCAATAAAAGGGAAATATAGGGCTGTGCTGATAGAAGACCTGGTTTACAAATTAACAAAAGTGGTGCTTCTGTATTTCACATCTTCTAAGGGTAGGTTAGATAAATAGAGATGTGTTTGAATGAGCCTGGAGACATATAGAAAAACAAATAAGGAAAAAGGAAAAATGATGGTTAATTTAATAGGATTTCTCCATCGTGTCTGCTGGGAGGTTTATAGAAAATATGTGGTGATCACTCCCAATATAACCTACAAGTAGTTGAATTCTGTCTCTCTGTGAAAAGCATGTGGACGTTACCTGGGATGAATTCGGTCCCAGCCCAAGGCAGGAAGTAAAAAATGCCAAAGGACAGGATGTAAAAATGTGCCCAGTAGATTGCATGGGATACTGGCAGTGAATTCAGCAAACAGGCAGAACTTCAAATATATACTAGAATGGATTATACATGTAGGCCAGCTAATAGTAAAGTACATGCACAGGCAAACCAAATAACAAATGGAAACCTATATAAACTCATCTATGAATTCCCTCTGTATCTTTTCAGCATTGGATATTGCCCCAGGCTTTTGACCATATAGCATGTAGATTAGATTAAATACTCACTGGGGAGCAACATTGTAAAATAACTTTTCCTCTCAAATAGACCACAAGTCCATTGATGTCTTCAATACCCGTGTCCTCGGAAATGGGAACCTCATGATCTCTGATGTGAAGGTGCAGCATGCTGGAGTTTATGTCTGTCGAGCAACTATTCCAGGCACACGGAACTTCACAGTTGCAATGGCAACTCTCACTGTATTAGGTGAGCTTGCTTTGAATTCCACAGTGTGCCAGAACGGCCTGCTACTATGTGAAATTTTGTTCTGTACTTGATACTTTAGGCCAAATTCTACCCTCTGTTATACCCATATAGCTATATGGATTGCAGTGAGGTCACACAGTGAAATGGAGTTACTAGATGCGTTAGTGCCATATACTGGTAACTTAAGAATTGTATGGCAGCTTGCTTGCTCTTAAAAACAGTCAGATGTAATGGAGTTTTTACACGTTTGCTATTGAAAGATTAATTTTCTAACAGGAAAAAAAATATGGCAATGTGTATAAATACATGTAACTCATGTGAATGCTTCATGATCAGCATTTTATACATTGGACTTAATATGATATGCACTCATACATGAACTAATATGAAAGTCTTTACTTTCATATGTTCACTTCACACATACAACTTTAAAAAAACAAAAGACATGCTATATGTGTATGTGAAACACACGTGCTTTTCACATGGAGATGTCCACATGTACTTCACTTCGCCTGAGTAGTGCTTCTTATTCTCTTGGTTTTATTCACACCTTAGACCTTTTGTATTTTTTATTTTTGCGTATTATTTACCTGTAGCACCACCTTCATTTGTGGAATGGCCGGAAAGTTTAACAAGGCCCAGAGCTGGTACTGCCCGTTTTGCATGTCAGGCAGAAGGAATTCCAGCACCCAAAATGTCATGGTTGAAAAATGGAAGAAGGATACACTCCAATGGTAGAATTAAAATGTACAACAGGTAAGATTACCATTACATTATAATTTATGTCATGAAATATACAGTAGTTATAAATTGTTGCTAAACAGGAGAGAACAGACTTTTCAGGTCAGTGAATTACAGCTTTCCCAGGTTCATTAAAGTATTTGGAAGTAAAATTAAACATTGAATCTGTCTTTTTATGACACTAGGCAACTACTTCTTGGAACACAAATAAACACAAATTAGCTTATACATAAATACCACAGCTAAAACCTTCTGTGGATATAGGTCCAGATTCTGATCTCTGCTATACCTGTGTAAAAGTGGAGTGATTTCATTGACTTAGTGGAGTTAATCCAGATTTATATTGGTGTAGCAGAGATCAGAATCTGGCCCATAGTTTGAACTCCTATTTCATTAACTTAGAGTGAGAAACTCTTATTTAAAAAATAAAAATAAAAACAAAGGTAAAAAATACTATCAATTACAAAAGAGAAAGTACAAAGTTACTAAAGAGCAATTTTAGTAATTTTTTTAATAAAGTGAGCTTGTAAACATTTTTTTCTTTCTTTCTTTTTAATTTCCCTGACTTTGTAGGGCACTAGCATTGCAAGTCTGGGTGCCTGCATGAAAGTTTTTGAAGAGCACCAGAAGAGGCTAATTTTTATGACTAAATATAAATTTATGTTAAGAAAAAATGAACACAAAATGGAGTATGAGATATTTAGAGTAGATTCCTGGAGCAGGGGCAAAAGCCAAGTTGTGGCTTGCATTACATTGAGCTAAGTTATTGTTAGACATGATTTTTTTCTTTTTCTTTTTAAATTCAGTAAATTGGTGATTAACCAGATCATTCCTGAAGATGATGCCATTTATCAGTGCATGGCTGAAAATAGCCAGGGGTCTATCCTATCCCGGGCCAGATTGACTGTAGTTATGTCAGAAGACAGACCCAGTGCTCCTTGTAACGTCCATGCTGAAACAATGTCAAGTTCAGCAATTCTGCTAGCTTGGGAGAGGCCGCTCTATAATTCAGACAAAGTGATTGCATATTCAGTGCACTACATGAAAGCAGAAGGTAAGCAGTGTCAGTCTGAAGTGGATTGTGTAATATTTGTTACAGTCTCATGCATCCAGGGTTTTCTGCAGTAGTTCATCATAGGAAGAGTCTGCCAATAACAAAGATCTCATAAGCTAATTTTGGGGATAAATCACACGCTCCCACAGAACAGCCAGGTTAAGATGGTAAACTCTACATGCTTGACCCTTCAAAGCTTCTGCCAGATCATTTCATTCATGGGGCTGGGTACATGGCTTACCTCTCCACCTTCAGGATGAAGAATATGGCCTTCATTGCAGGCAGGAGCATTGGAACAGCAGCCCAGTGCCTCCATGTTACTCTCTGGCTTTTCATCTCCCATGGAAACAGGAGAGTCTGTCAATTTTCCCTCCCACATGTATGCTAGGCTAGGGAGCATACACCACAGAAGTAGGGTTCATGTAAGGGCATGTCTATATGAACACTGGGGTGTGAATCTGCCTCCTGCTAGCTTGCTGCACGCTAATGGCACGTCAGCACTGCAGCAGTGGAGCTGTAACAGTACAGCTGCGCTGAGGCAGGACATGTGGTGAAGATGCTCTTGCCAATGGGGGAGAGCTCTCTTGTCAGCATAAAAGACCCACCCCCGCAACCAGCGTAAGCTGTGTCGGTGGAAGAAGTACTCCTGCCGACATAGCGCTGTGCCCACTAGCGCTTACATCAGTGTAATTTATGTTGCTCAGGGGGGTAGAATATTCACACCCCTGAGTGACATAAGTTTTGCTGACCTGGGCAGTAGTATAGACATAGCCTAAGTGTCTGTGTGGACCATGCTGCTGCATGGTAAAAGTTCCCTGGTGCACTTGATCAGTTGGGAGTAGATCAAAGCACATTACAGAATACGTACTGCTTGTAAGGCTAGTGCAAGGTACATTTACATCCCACCTTGCCACAAGCTAAGTGGTCATACAGACAAGCCCTAAGATAATGCTGGCCCAGTGGTTTCACAGGGAGTAGCTTTTCCCCAGATTCCTCTCTCTACTGCAGATCCCCAAACTCATGGAGTTTGTGCAAAGGGGCTTCTATAGGGGCTAGACTGAGAGGGGGACAGTTAGTGACCAATTTGCTCTACTCCCTTCCGTTTGATAGAATTTTACCCGCAGGAGTGGGTTTTCCTCTCCTTTCATCCCCTCCTTGACTAAAGTGAAGGTATGTCAGAATCATAGAAGATTAGGGTTGGAAGAGACCTCAGGAGGTCATCTAGTCCAAACCCTTGCTCAAAGCAGGACCAACACCAGCTAAATCATCCCAGACCCAGACAGCCCCAGTGATCTTTGTAACGTCCATGCTGAAACTGTGTCAAGTTCAGCAATCCTGCTAGCCAGTATCAGAGATTTTAAAATTTGCTGAAATAACTAATTATTTAGAGGCTCTGCTGTAGCCTCTAGAATGTTACATCCTTCCTTTATAAAAAAGCATAGTTAAATAGGGAAGAAGGATGTAACTAGACATTTTCACCTGTTTTTATTCTCTATGATAGTGTCTGACAAGTGACTTGAAAATTAGTTATACTGCAGCCTAGTTTAATCTATGCACCTATCTCCTAGCTGTGACTCAGTTTTCTAAGTGGAATGATTGCTTTTTCTGCTTCTGTTCAGCAACTAGTTTATTCAAGGGCAGGATTGCAGATGCTTGGCTCTCCATGTGGAATATCGCCTTGCCATCTGGTAGGCAGAAGACAGGAAGGACAGCATAATTACTCTAATACTGATGCAGGAATAGCTGTCTTTGCTTTTGTAAATGGGATGTTCTCAGGACAGGAGATGATTTTGTTTGAAGGGAGGAAAGAGCCTTAAAAGATAAGAGGACAGAGAATTGATGAAGTTCAGGAAGTTCCCCTAAATTTTCAAAATTGCTGAGGAATTAGCCACACAACTCCCATTCAAATTAAATATGAATGTTAAAGTCATGCTATATAATCTATCTGGGTACTTATATGGCCTCCATTACTGCAGTATGTGAGGGCCTGGGTAACTTCATGGGGAACTGGGAAGTAATATCTTACTGAATATTTGTACAGGAAGTGCACCAGCTGAGTAGCTCTTTGAAGAGATGTGTATCCGTTATCCAGCCCCTGGTTAACTGAAACTCTTACTTATCCAAAGGTCAAACATGTTCCAGAGTTTGAAGCTCACCTGCTGTGATGGTACACAGCTGGGTGGCCTTGGGAAAGCCAAGTGAGCCCTGAGCTCTGCTGGGCCTGTTAGTTCAACTGTCCAAAGGGCTTGCTCATCCCTCCAGACCTTCATGTAATAGCCTGACTGTATGGAAGGCTGTTGTTTAGCTTTCATATAGATAACCCCTAACACTTACCGGTGTATTTTCACTGGGTAACTTCAGCTATGGAAACCGAAATGTAAGTAGAATGTGTGCTTTTTTTACCATCTTGTCACAGCCCTGCTCCAGGTGGGTAGCACCTGTGGACCTGCACCTGTGCAGAAAAACACATTCAGGTTTTTTTAGAGTAGAAAAAGCATAAGGGTTCAGAAGCGTCTGGGGTTGTACTTGCTTCAGATACAATTGTTCTCCCAAATGAAAGTGTGTGAAACCATTTGAGAACAGGTTACTCCACATCACAGATATTAATCAAAGCCTGAAAAATTGCCCTGAAAAGCTCTGCTTTCATGAGTGTGTGTCATATCAGGCAGTTTGTATTGTTACGGAAGCAGCTGTATATGTGTGTGCCCATACTGCACAGAGAGAGATGTAAGCTAGCTGTTAATAAGGAAAAACAGATGGCTTGATAAGTCATTCAGCCTATCATATAGCTAGGGAAGTGACCAGCATGGACTGGACTGCTGAGAGCTCACTTGTTTATATCTCAAAAACTTAAATTCTTTCTGCTGTTCATTGGAAAGAGGAACACATGCCTATAGTAGACTATCACTGTTATCCGCATCCTACCTTTCTCCATTCTCCCTGTTTGTTATGCTTACTTATGGAATCTTAACTTGGCCCTGATACTGCAAAGCTCACAGACGGGCTTGATTTTAATGGGATCAGTCATGTTCTTGAAGTTGCTCATGTGCGTAAATTATTGCAGGATCGGGGCACTAGTGTATAAATTCTTTGCAGCTCTGAGCTCATTGGAGCCTCTGGGCTTTACTAAAATAAAATAATTAGTAATCATGTGAAACCACTTTAATCTCCTTCTCCTGTTTTCTTTTGCTATGTTTGCTCAAATTGTATGTTGTGCGTACTGGCATAAAAATCCCACAGGAAAATATTTCATACTTACATGCAATATAATGCATACTATCTTTTTATCTTAATGTTTTTTTCTGTGTTTATATAGGTGTGGGTTTTTAAGCTTTTCTTAATTAGCAGAAGGATGGAATTTCACATTAATGGTTAGTGTAAAAGTAAGCAAGTCATCCTGTGCTAAAATATCCAAATGAAACAGTTTTTTCAGATGGAGCTCTCCTAAATTAGACAGATAATCAGGATCTCATAAACTCTAGTTTAAACAGAAAGTAATATTTTATAATGCACTTAATCATATGCAGTTCCAAAGATTTCTCTCTTCACGTTCACAACATTGTAGGTGGTTAAAAACAAAAGATCCCTGCATTCTTTGTTTAATTCCACAACAAGTCTAACATTTATAAAATGCACTCTCAAAACTGCCTCAATCTCCTCTTGCCCCCAAAGTTGGTTGAAGAAACTAACAGGTGTGTTTTTTGTATTTTTAAAAGCAGAATATTTTACATTCAAATCAGGGGTCATGGTAGCAAGAAGAATACGAGTCTGATGAGAATACATGTTGGAGTGTGTTAATTCCTTGTTAGTGATTTAGAAAAGGTACAAAGGGGATACTGATTGTGGTGGAAGGCAAGCCTTGTTCTCTATTATGGCTGTTTCATTAGGACCTCCACATGAGGCCTAGCAATCCATTCAATGAAAGAACAAGTCCTTTTAATTTGAGCTCAAGGATCTTGTTTAGCAGGTCAGAAATCGTGACATGCAATTCCTAATTAACAAGCCATTAACTAGTCTGTTATGAGATGGTCATAATCTTGTCTAATTAAAATGCTATCAAGTTAATTCAGAAATGTGGGAAAACTTAATGGTGGAATTTGCCTTTCGTTTTGTTTATAAATTCAATTGTGAAGAGGAGGGGCTGGCTCTTAGAGAGTTTTGATTAAGTTGACATGCATTTGGTGTGAATTGTTTGTTAAGCACAGCAGCTTTTGCCAAACTTTTTCTACTTTGCAGCTTCTCTGTATAGGAATAAAGCCCGACAAAGACAAGGCCTGCTCTATACATTGCTATGCATATTTTAATATGAATTGCTGAGAATTTTTTTACAGCTCATTAAGGAGCAAAACATTTTTGAAGTTCATTCTGTACCAATCCCGTTGTCTTCTTTCTGAATTAGAGAAAAACGCATGTCAATCAAATTTAATAGAATTCCCAGGGCTAAAATGAGATCCTTTGCAGAATGACTTCTTTCTGTTTGTTTTGTTTTTTAAACAGAATGGAGCCTCACATTCTTCAGTCTAATATATGAAGGCTCTGTAAATAGGTTTTGAAAAAACACACTGGTTCTAAATAAGTAGAATTAAAGATTAGCTTCAAATGATAAGGTTATTAGAGCTCGTCTGTTGTGTTACTGTACATTGGACACAGTTTGTTGTGACTAATTCGTGAAAAGATTTTGGGATAGATTAATGCAATTCAGCATCTTTTATTCAGAAAAAATCCTGAACCACTGTAATTTATAGCAAGACACAGTTACTTCCATTCACAAAAGAACTACATTGTAGGATTTTTATTTTTAAACAACCTTTAACTTGCATGACCACCATCCTGGCAGCAATGGATCATCTTGCGTTAAGAGACTGACAGCAATTTTTGTTTCTGTTAACTTCTTGTTTTATTCCAGGTTTAAATAATGAAGAGTATCAAGTGGTTATTGGAAATGACACAACTCATTACATTATTGATGACTTGGAACCAGCCAGCAATTACACGTTTTATATTGTGGCCTACATGCCCATGGGAGCCAGTCAGATGTCGGATCACGTGACTCAGCACACCCTTGAAGATGGTAAGTCAAATAAATGTTGTAGAGCAAAATATGCATAATTATTTATCTATTTAAAACAGATGCGCAATCCTGTGCCACTGACATCACTGAAAGTTTTGGGTACATACAAAATTGAACTGGCCACTGAAATGAATGAGGATAAAAAACATGCTCTATTACAAAGGGTATATGTATTTTATGCTGAAAGAACATCCTTCTTCAAGTGCTGGTCCCTCTTTGTATTCCACTGTGAGTTCACATGCGTTCGAGTTTGGAGAATGCTTGCAGATAGTGTCTGTTGGTCTGCACTTGTGCCCCTGCTCTCCTCCTGCTTTGCACTGAGGGTATAAGGGGTGGGGTGGGGCAGACCAACTGCCTCTCCAGTTCCTCCATTCTGTTGCATGACCTGAGTTGGAATCCTCATGTCTTTTCACTTTTTTCTGTAAATATATTCAAAGTTATAAATTATTCTTAGTTATTTAGTGTTAGAATCCACAATGGGGAAGTGCACTGGGAGACCAGGAGGGGACTTAGATTATGCTGAGGATACTGGGCTTAAACAACCTTCATCTCCTGCCCCTGCTTTTTGGTCAGCGGTGACCACCAGTGCTGCCCCAGAGAAGCAGATATCTCAACTAAATGCGGTATCTGCCACTCTTTTTTCCCAGCAGAACATGACAGGCAAGGCAGCTTGGGCTTTCAAAGTACTTTATGGAGCCCTCAATGAGGCCCTAGTCAGACCCAGGCTGGGCAGACCACCCTGAACAGTGGCCAGAGTCAGCAAGGAGGGCACCACTGGTACTATGTCTGACTCCAGAGTGCAGGAGGGGAAGGAACCTTTGGCTGGGCCCCTAATGAGAGTAAGGAGCACGCTCACAAACAAAACCAGAGTCCTCTAAGAGAAGAAATCCCTCTCTGACCCTGTACAAGTCGGGTGAGCCTTCATGCCCAAGTCATTAGAATTTAGGCCCTTCTAACCGCATGAGCATGTTCAAAAGACTCATAGGAGCAAGACTCCTTCAGCACCAGCCTCTGCATCATCTTCAACACCGACTGCGGTGTCACCTAAAAATAAACGCTGGTCCTGAAGGAGTGGGAACTGCTGGTACTGTCAAAACTCACAAGGGCGGAGACTCATTCAGCACCATGGCCCCTTAAGGAATCACTATCTACACCTACTGTGATGGTATGGAGTGAAAAGATGCAACCTCTGAAGGTGCTTGTGACTTATACCTTTCCAGAGAATATCTTTGTCCTCCCGGACCCAACGTCTCCCTCGTTATTGGGACAAATCCTAACCAGGGAGACACACACACCTGCAGGAATCCAGGATTTTGAAAGAAATCTATCCTTTGTCCCATCCATTAGTCACAGTTTCTTCCCAACAGATCCAGCCGTGCAGCCAGTGGACCCAGATCTGACCATTGCATCTCTAGGAGAGTTCTCTAACCAGCTTCTCTCCCACCCAGGCAGGGGATCGAAAATCTCCTGGAACTTGCCTTGCCCAATACAGACAGGAGATGTGTGGCTGGATCCAATGCCTTGGGAACCATCACAACCTGCTGTTGGCCCCTCCTACTGGCTTGCTTGGGACCTTTGGAACCATTACACACATTACCTGGAATCTGTCCACTCCAACAGGAAGTCTTACCACCCCTTTCCTCTAAGGGGACAGTCTGAACTCATGGAAGAAGGGGAAAACAAGCTGGTACCCCTGGTTCTGATGGGTATCATCCTCGTCACCTGATGAAATGGTCACTCCAGCCTCTCTGTCTCCTCCTGCTGATCATAGGCAGTTCCAGGAGCTCTTACAGAGGGTGGTAGAAGAGCTTTAAAACTCCTTAGGGGAGGTGCAGGACCGTCAACATAAGCTCCTAGATATCCTGCAACCTACAGGCTCTAGACGGGTTGCATTCCCAGTAAACGAAGCCATACTAGAACTGGCAAGGGCTGTATGACACAAACTGGCTACCTATGTCCCTACCCTCAAGAGGGCTGTCAAGGCTGATTCCTCATTCTGGCACTTCGAGTGCAGAAGGTGGGGGCCCACAAGGATTCTAAAAATTAATACTGGCTACTCCAGGCTTGTATTAAACTCCCAAGGTTACAGCTTCTCTCTGACCTTGGATGGGTAGATGCTGCCACCATCCAAGTGCAAAAAAAAAAAGCTTTGAGAACCCAGGAAGGCACACTTGGGAATTCCTTCCTGTGGGGTACCCTCAAGCCCTTTCACACATCCCCCTCCCCCCTGGTGAAGAGCTGAGAAAGAAAACAAAGGAAATGAGGTGTTGTCACCAGCTAATTAAACAACATGCACAAACCTCTTAGGACACAAAAATCCAATCCTGTTCTTAAAAAAAGGTAAAATTGTTTAAAAACAAAAAGAAAGAAAATACATTTGGAACTTAGGCTTTTTGCTCGATTTAAAAAAAAAAAACAATTACAAGGATTAAGCATCAAGATAGCTCTCCTGAGGCCAACTTAAAGTTTACAAGCAAAACAAAAGCATCTGGGGTTAGCACAGAGGAGGCCAGAAGCCATGAAGAAATAAAAGAGATAAACCTAATCATGTCTTCCTAGACATTTCCTGATCTACTTACATATCTGGGGTTTCAAATGAGTAGTTTCCAGGTATGATCTGGTGATCTTTCATACCTGGCCACAGCTTTTTCCAGCATCGTTCCAGTCCTGTCTCTACTCTCCGGGAGTACAGCACAGACAGACAAAGGGGAAGTTTTTTCCCCAATTTTAAAAAGTTCTAGCCTTCCCATTGGCTCTTTTGGTCAGGTACCCACTTCCTCCCTTTTACCTATGGACTTTTTAACCCTTTACAGGTAAAGCAAGTAGAGAACAGCTACTAAGAGGGATTATATAGCTAACTGTCTGGCTGGGAGTCCATAAAAGGGAGCTGCCCCTCCCTTCATTTATCACAAGGGCAGAGAAGCAGTACTTTGTCCCAGCTAAGGGAGTAGAGTTCTGGTTTACCCACCTTGCCCTGAACTCCTTGGTGGTTCAGGCAGACACAGAAAGATCCAGGCAACACAACACCCAAGCGCCATCCTCTCAGATAAGGAAGCCAAGTGCTTATGGGGAGAATGGTGTTTACATCTGCCAGCCTCCAGTTTAGAACCTCAAAGTATCAGGAAGACAGGGCTCAGTTTCAAGCCCTTATTGATGAGAGCAGGCTAGTGGCCAGAACCGCTTTATGAGCTGCAGTTGGTGTGGCTGAAATGGCATCAAGATCCAGGACAACCAGCATTTTGCAGTGTTGGAAATCATGGCTACGCTCTTTGGGGTTTCCTGGGGAAGTTCAAAATACTCTTGAGGACTCGCCTTATGATGAGACAAGTCTTTTCAGTGAGAAGATGGATGAGTGTTTGCACTCCTTGAAAGACTCTAGGGCAACCCTCTACTTCCTGGATATATATACACCTGACCCAAAGAGAAAATATAATAAACAGCCCTACAAACCAAGGTCTTTACCACAACCCTTCTATCACCAGCATTCCTATGAGCCACCTCACAAATAACAGAAAATGCTGAGGTCAAGATACCCTGCACCTACCATTTCAGCCACAGCTACCCATCCTCACCCTCCAATCAAGATATACTTTTTGACATGATGCTATGGAGCTGTGAACCAATAGTGATCCCATCTCCACATGATTCTGAGATCCATTTCAGGGGATACCTCGCAAAATTTTCCCACAATTGGGTGACAACAGAGGCGTGCTGGACGTCATCCATTCCAGATTATCAAGTTTCTCTATGCACCTCCTCCAAAACGCGTTTCCCCATCCCTTTTCAGGGATCACTCTCATGAGGGGATCTTCCTTCAACATGTACAATCTCTTCTTCAGTGAGGAATAATACAGCACATACTTCCTTGACATCAGGAGAAAAGAATTCTATTCAAAATATTTCCTAGCCCCAAGAGGAAAGGAGGCTTGAGACCTATTCTCGACCTGTGTCAATTCGACGTTTTTATTCACAAACTGAAATTCCACATGGTTACATTGGCATTAATAATACCATCCCTATAAAAAGGCACATTGTTCACGGCTCTCAGTATGAAAGTTGCATACTTTCATGTGGCTATTCACCTCTCAGTATTCCTTACTGTTCTGTGCCATATGGCATCATGTACTTATGTGATGCCATTTGTCAGACTCCACCTCTGTTGCTGGCAAGCTTGGCTCTGAACACTATATACATCGAGCGAGCACAGCATGAATACCATAGTGACAATTCCCTTTGAGGTGAGGGCCTCTCTGGCATGGTGGAAGGACCCTGGACATGTTGTATGGAAGTTCCCTTTCTGTCCTCCGCACCTAATAAGATGATAATTACAGATGCTGGGGAGCCAACATGGGCCATCACACAGCACGAGGCACATGGATGCCTCGAGAAGCCAGAATGCACTTAAATCTTCTGGAATTGAGAGCAGTACAAGAGGCTTGCAAAGCATTCCTACCATTCATACATTCCCAGCACATCCTGATAATGTCAGAAAACATAACCACTGTTTTCTAAATAAACAAGCAGGGAGGGCGCGCTCCATCCCCCTCTGAATAGAAGCAATCAGCTTATGAAACTGCTGCATACAGAACCACATGTCACCCTATTGGCAGTATACCTCTCGGGAACCCAGAATTAACCAGCAGACAGCCTCAACAGGCATTTTGCCACTGATCACGAGTGGGAGTTACATGATTCATTAGTAAATAGTATCTTTACTCAGTGGAGAACCCTCATTTGGAACCTGTTTGCATCTCAGGCAAACAGGAAGTTCAACATATACTGCTACAGGGGAGCTGAAGGTTAATGCTCCATGGGCAGTGCCCTCCTCCTTCCTTAGATCATTTTGGTTATGCTTTCCCTCTCATCCTGCTACTATCTCAGGGTCTACAGAAGATTTGTCTAGACAGGCCACAAGTCATCCTTGTGGCCCCCAGATGGCCCAGGTAATTCTGGTTTCCAAGCCTCCTACAAGTGTCATTCCATCCACTTATCAGTGTTTGGAACTTTCCAAATATCTTGACCCAGCAAAATGACAGGGTCAGGCAACCAAAGCCCAGTGATCTTCATCTCATGACTTGGTGTTTGTTTGGACATTGAGTCTGGAACATTCTTGTCCTGAAGCTGTGCAAATCATTCTTAACAGCAGAAAAGACTCCATCAGAAAATGTTACCTAGCTAAATGGAAACGTTTCTCTGCTTGGGCCTAACAAAACCATATATACAATCATAGAATCTTAGAAATGTAGGGCTGGAAGGGACCTAGAGGGATCATCAAGTGCAGCCTCCTACGTTGGGGCAGAACCAAGTAAACCTAGACCATCCCGGATAGCTAAGTTCCCTGTGAGCTGTGTGGCACACTATTCAGCACTATGCAGGCGCTCAGGGAACCCGCCCGGGGACCTGCTGGGGGAGAGGTGCCTCTCCCCTGGCCCCAACCTAGCCCGGCCCCCAACCGGCCATGGCGGCCCCCCGGCCTCAACTATGCCACAGCCTGGACCTGCCGCAGCCGGGGCGGTGCAACCTGGACCCAACCGCGGCCAGGGGCAGCCCGGCCCAACCCTGGAGGCCTGGGGCAGCCCAGCCCAACCCCGAACCCGGGAGGCCTGGGGCAGCCTGGCCCGAACCTATCGCGGGGCGCACCCTCCCTGAACCCAGCCCTGGTCCGAACCTGCAGGGGCCGAGGGAGGGGTGTCTATCCTGTGGCCCCAGCCCTGGAGCTGTCGCGGCGGGAAGAGGTGCCTCTCCCCCCCAGCCCAGGTGCTGCTGCGGGGAAAGAGAGCTGAGGGGAGTCCTCTTTGCCCACTGTATCCCCGGAGCACCCTCCTACACCCCAAATCTCTCATCGCTGGCTGCACCTCAAGCCCACACCCCCAGCCGGAGTCCTCACACCCCTGCACCCCAACCCTCTGCCCCAGCCCTGAGCCCTCTCCCACGCTCTGCACCCCTCCACCCTATCCCCACCACATGAGCTTTGTTATGTGCACCGATATGAAGGTGATGTGTCACATATCACCTCCATATTGGTGCACATAACAAAATTCATTCTGCACCTGGGGGGGAAAAATTAGAGGGAACACTGCCTGATAGATGTTCTTAAAAACCTCCAGTGATCGAGATTCCACTGCCTCCCTTAGAAGCCTAATTTCCCTTATAATAAGAAAATGTTGCTAATATCTAACCTAAATCTCTCTTGCTGCAGATTAAGCTCATTACTTGTTGTCCTACCTTCAAGGGACATGGAGAACAATTGATCCCCATTCTCTTTATCACAACTCTTAACATATTTGAAGACTCCTTATCAGGTCCCCCTTCAGTCTTCTTTTCTCAAGACTAAACATGCCCAGTTTTTTAAACCTTTCCTCATAGGTCAGGTTTTCTTTTACCATTTTACCATTTTACCTTTTACCATTTTATATCTAAACCTTTTAATCATTATTGTTGCTCTCCTCTGGTTATCTCCAGAGGCAGTTCAAAATAGCAGGAATATCTACTGTCGTCTTACCCTCAAAACAAAGTGCCTTTTCCCTAGCTCTCTGTAGGTTCACCTGGTGGCAATTAGGGCGTCACCCAGCCACAAACAGTTTTTGGATCTTTACCCATCAGGTAACAGCCAGGTGTCTGAAATGTCTGATAGAACCTCTCTGCCAGTAAAGAACCCCTCACTGGGACATGTGTCTCTCTCATTTTGTTAGCAGCGAGAGATTCATTGTTTGCTCACACAGAATCTGTATTGTTCACAAACATCTGAAATGATCAGATATGTAACCTAAACTGTATATTCATTGCATTTTCTTTAGCTTTGAATGGAAATCCATTCCTACCTAAAAGGATATATTAAAAAAAAGAGGGACTTTTATTCTTTGAGTGGAATGTGCTTATTGCAAAGATCTCAAATGTTGAGAAAAAACTCTCTACCTATTTCCTTTGCTGTTATCTAGTTAACATGTGCCTTATTGCTGCAACAAAAATGTGCTCACTTTGGACCCAATTCTGCAAGATGCTGTTACAATCAACTCCTACTGAAATTAGTAGGAGACAAAGTACTGAGCATCTTCTAGGATCAGGTTTATTGTGGTCACTATTGTATACAGAAGGTAGAAATATAACCAATTTCACGTTATTTAAAAAATAAATAAATTGGATTCACCAGACTTTCTTTGGCTGGCAGCCTAATAATATTCTAGGGAAATTTTATTGAATGGCACAGTAATAAGACAGTTGCTTAAGGGGTTTGTGTTTTATATGTTATGGTTTTTTTTACGTACATCAAGTTTTCAAAACTTTATTTCCTTTATTTTTAGTTCCTTTGAGAGCTCCTGAAATCAGTTTGACAAGTCGAAGTCCCACAGATATTCTCATCTCCTGGCTGCCTATCCCAGCCAAATACAGGCGAGGCCAAGTGGTCTCGTATCGTGTATCTTTTCGCCTCAATGCAGAAAGCACTATCCAAGTTCTGGAGCTTCCAGGGACCACAAATGAGTATCTCCTGGGAGGCCTGAAGCCTGATAGTGTCTACTTGGTTCGTATTACTGCAGCGACAAGGATAGGCTGGGGAGAAGCCTCTCTGTGGACTTCCCACCGGACCCCCAAAGCCACAAGTGTGAAAGGTGATTCTCTTTTCCTAAAATTCCTTGGATAAAAGTTCAGTGTGGGCCTGGTCCAGATCTTATTAAAGAAAACGGAAAGACTCCAACTGACTTCAGTGTGGACCAGACCACTGTTAGAAGTTCTGCATTTTTATTTAGTGAATTTCAGATGATGATTTCTTGCCATGTTGTGCAGATTTGAAATACAATGTTTTTCTGGGTGGGGGAGAGAGTAGGTGAATTTTTTTTGGAGTGCTGCAGCAGATATTGCTAAGACCCTCGTTTTGTGTGTGGAATCTCGAGAGCTCAAGCTGCTTAACCTACTCGGTGTTTCAATCAATTAATTAATTTAGATCAGTCTTGCTTCTGAGACACAATTTGAATTATACCTAACTATTTTAATTAATCTGTACTACGTGGGCCCTTTTGCATGGTGTTGAAGGCAAAGAGCTGATCTGTCACTGTGTTGGTCTGAGTTCTTTTCATATTTGATATATCCAAGTTTGACATTTCATTTTATGGGGCATTAAGCCATGTTTCTAAGCCAGAAGCAGCTCAAGCATGTTAGCATTTGGCCTCCTTAACAATGATGTTGAAGTCTCTTGCATAAATATAATTTAAAAAATGGAGTGCGAAAAATTGTGGTTGCAAATCCGGGGATTTACACATACCAGCTGTGCATGTGGCTACTTGAAGTGCATACATCAATATAGTCACATTTGTGCCTATATTTTTCTGCATATGTCAGTCAGCCTCATTTTTTGATCCATTAGTCCTCAATCTGATCCAGTGTGTTTTACAGTAGTGTAAATCAAGCTTATTACTCAGTAATAACACTTATGAAAGCACTAAACTTCAGCAAGAATATGATATTCAGAAACTTGTAGGTTTTTGTGTAAAGGTTTATTTCTTAAATGTACATAATGAGGCAGTAGCCTAGATAGACCATATTTGATATTGGGTGATGTAATCATTTATTAAATTCTTATGCTTGGGGCAGAGGGGAAGTAGGAGGTTATTATAGAATCACAGAAATGTAGGGCTGGAAGGGACTGCAAAAGGTCTTGACAAATCCATGCTGGCTATTCCTTAGAACTCTGTTATCCTCTAGGTGTTTACAAATTGATTGTTTAATAATTTGTTCTAGTATTTTTCCAGGTATTGAAGTTAGAATTCCCTGTTCTAGAATTCCCTGGGTCCTCTTTGTTCACCTTTGTAAAGATAGTACTGTGTTTGCCCTTCTCCAGTCCTCTGGGACATCATCTGTCCTCCATGAGCTCTTGAATATAGTTGCTAACAGTTCCAAGATTGCTTCAGCTAGTACCTTAAGTACCCTAGGATGAATTTCATCAGGCCCTGCTGATTTGAATACATCTAACTTATCTAAATATTCTGTAACCTGTCCTTTCCCTATTTTGGCTTGCATTCCTCCCCCCCTGTTGTTAATAGTACTTTTGTTCAGTATCTATCTGATCACTGTTAATCCTTTTAGTGAAGACTGAAGTAAAATAGTCATTAAATAAACACCTCAGCCTTCTTGATGTCATCAGTTATTAGCTCTCCTTCTGTGCCTATTACTCAGTAGAGTAGATGACTTACACTTCCCTATGTCTTTCTCTTCCTCCTAATGTATTCAATTCTTCTTATTGCCTTTTATGTCCCTTGCTAGGAGTAACTGATTTTGGGCCTTAACCTTTCTGGTTTTTGTTCCTACACGCTTGTGTTATTCTTTTGTACTTCTCTTCAGCAATTCATCCATATTTCCACTTTTTATAGGTTTCTTTTTTGATTTTCAGGTCATCCATATACTTCCTGGATCACTATTCTTCCTATCTTTCCTTTACATCAAGATAGGTTGCAACTGTGCCTTTAGTATTGTCTCCTTGAGAAGCTGCCAGCTCTCCTGAACTCCTTTATTCTTTAGAATTTCTTCCCTGGGGACCCATTCCTCCCTGTTGGTCAGAATCATGTCTAAAATGGCTGTCCACCGGTACATCCTCCACTTTCTGAAAGAAAAAGAGTTGTCCCCAATACATTCCAAGAACTTATTGTAAGTTTTGTATTTTGCCATATTACTTCTCTAACAGATATCTGGGTATTTGAAGTCTCCCATTATTACCATGTCTTGTGTTTTGGATTTTTCTGTTGTTCTAGAAATGCCTCATCCACCTCCTGTTCCTGATTTGGTGGTCTATTATAAACCCCTACCATTATGTCATCCCTATTTTTCCCCCTTTTATCTTTATCCGGAGACTTTCAACTTCTCTGCCTTCAACTCTCTGCCTTCTGCATCTCAGAACAAGTATATATATTCTTGATGTATAATGCAACACTTCCTCCTTTTTTTCCCTGCTTGACCTTCTTGAACAAGCTATCAATTATTCCAGCTCTGAATAATTTTAAAACATGAGTAGTGACTGTTTCATTTTTATAGATAGACACCAAAGTTTAATCTGGACTTAATCTGTGCTCGGTCAAATGCATCTTGTGGGGACTTTAGTTTAAAACAAAACTAAAATAACCTAACTCAAAGTTTAATTCTCCATTATAAAAATGTTAAATTACAAAGTGACCCTTTCTCCAAGATAGCCCAGATTGATATGCTTTTAGATAGGTGGCATAGATAAGGCTGGCCTACATTATACAGTATCAATTATATAATTATACAGCTGGGCTGGAACCAGAACCCCAGTTCTGAGTAATCTTGAGCTTTGGGGTTTGAAATGTTGAATCTTGAAGAAATGTATTTGCAAGAATTGTTTATTTCTAATATGTAAAAATATATAATTTCTTACCTTAGCACCAAAGTCTCCTGAGCTGAGTTTGGAACCACTGAACTGTACAATCATTACAGTGAGGTGGCATCAGGACTCTGAGGATACAGCAACTATTGAAGGGTACAAATTGTACTACAAGGAAGAAGGCCAGCAGGAGAATGGACCAATTCTACTGGCTGCCAGTGACCTTGTGTATACTCTCAGTGGTTTGGGTGAGTACATGCATTAATTGTCTAACACTTTGTCAGGCAAAAATGACACACTCCAGAACAGTTGCGGTAGAAAATCAAGTCAAATGACATCTAAATAGGAGCTGAAAGCTTTTTTAACTTTTAGGATCATACCATAACATTCTGTACAAGGCAGCAAGATTAGGTTAGACTACTTATTTTCCCCCGTAATAGGAATCTTAAGTGTGAGCTACATTGCTGTCAAACTAATCCAGTTCTTGAATATATATTTACCAGCTTTAAACAAAATTAGATAAATTTGTCACCGTGTATAATTGGGAATATAAATTTGCCAGGTCATTTATCAGAACCTTTGAGGCTGTCAGTTACTAAAACAGTTTTGACCAGCAATCTATAAGGAATACAAGTCACTTTCTGAATGGTAATCTGCTTTTATATCTCTGTAACTGGTCTATTAGAATTGAAATATTACTACAAAGGATCGAGGATTGATCTCTTTACTATTTCTAGCAATGTATTGACCACCAACAGTTGGCTCAGCATAGTATAGTTTTAGTGCCCAATCCTGCAAATACTTGCTAGTAGGCATGCTTACTACCATGCATCATCCAATTTGTAACGTAAAGCATTTGCAGGATTGGGTATGGAAAAGAAGACACGGGGCCTGATCCAAAGCCTGTTTTAAATCAACTAGAGTCTTCCCACTGATTGATCTTAGTGGGCTTTGGATTAGACCCACAGTTCCTTCCCTATAGCGCTTATAGTCAATGTCAGTCGTAAACATGCAGTTCAAACAAGCAAAGTAGACGCATAGGTTGAAGGTGCCCCTGTTCGTTTACGCAACAGGGGGATTCAAATTTTCTTTAAAGATGTGATCTGTAGTAAAATCTGCAAAATCACTGCAAGGCTTGACACTTCATGTTCTTAATGTGTCAAGATGGTTTACTTTTACTTCGGACAGGATGGAGAATTAATCTTGACTAAATTATCAAAATTGACCTGTAGTCTTAACTAAGTCAATGGCCTCTGCTATAGATAGCCCAGACGTTATGTTAAGGAGAGACTGAGGAAAGCATTCTGCTCTGTTAACTGGACAACTGACCATCTGCAACCACTTCTATCCAGAGCATCTGGCAGCAGCTGACTGTTTAACAGAGCAGTGAGACCAAAAGAGAGTAGCTTAGGAGGAGATGGTGTTTCTGGGTCTTAAGAAGTAAATTCTTTTTTTTTTTTTTTTTTTTTTGGGGGGGGGGGGTCTTCTCATTATGCAGTTGACAAAACTATATTCCAAACACATGTAAACTCTAAAGGACTGTGTAGCCCTTTTCACATATATCTGATCAGATATCTTCGTTCAACAATTTTCCTCTGATCAGATGTGTTTCGAAGAATGGTGCAAACAAAATATTTTGCCGCCCCCCCCCCCCCACACACACACACACATTTTTTCCATTAAGGTATCATCTCTGATGGTTTCTTTTACTAATAAGCATTTAGGGAGAAGTGGAAACTTCTTAGACCAATCAAATCTGCACATGTAAAATCTGTAATTTGCCATATTGTGTCCCAATTTTTTAAAATTATAGATGTGCAAAAATTCACATTCACAATTTGTACATGCTGTCATAGTAATTGTGTACACATGGTTTTGAAAATATGGGCCTGCATCACTCTAACTTACTTACTTACAAGTATCTAAAACTGGACATTATGGCTCAGATTAAGGTTACATGGATGAATCCTTCCCCCCCCCCCCCGGCCGTACATCATCTATGCTGCCATAGGATGGATGTATTGATTACATAGTATTCTTCAAGAAGATTCAGAGTAAGTGCTAGTGTGCTGACTTTTAACAAGTTGTGGCTAAAGATTTATTGAATGTGCCTTTCAACTGCGGCCCGCAGGACACATCCAGCCCGTCCTGCCCAGCCCCTGAGCTCCTGGCCTGGGAGGCTGTCCCCCCGGCCCCTCTCCTGCTGTCCCCCATCCCCTGCTGCCGCGCGGCGCAATTCTCTGTACTGCGCGGTGAGGCTGCCTGTCCTGGTGCAGCCGTGCTGCCAGCCACCGGTGCTCCAGGCACGTGGTGGTGATGGGGGGGTTGGATAGAGGGCAGAGGGGTTCAGGGCATGGTCAGGGGTGTGGATAGGGGTTGGGATAGTCAGAGGGGAGTGGGGGCAGGGGTCCTGGGGGGCAGTCAGGAAGGAGAGGAGGGGTTGGATGGGACGGCAGGGAGCAGTCATGGGACAGGGAGCAGGGGGGGTGAATGGGGCAGGGGTTCGGGGGGGGCAGTCGGGAAGGAGAGCGGTTGGTTGAATGGGGTGGTGGGGGGCAGTTAGGAGAGAGGGGTCTGGGGGCGATCAGGGAGAAACCGTGGTTGGATGGGGCAGGGGTCCTGGGGGGGCAGTCAGGAAGGAGAGGGGGGCGTTGGATGCAGTGGCAGGGGGCAGGTAGGGGTGGGGGGTCCAGGGGCGGTCAGGGCACTGAGAGCTGAGGGGGTGGATGGGGCAGGGGTCTCTGGGGGGCCGTCAGGGAACAGGAGGTGTTGGATGGGGCAGGAGTCCCGGGGGGGGCTGTCAGGGGGCGAGAAGCGGGGGCGGGGTGTTGGATAGGGGGCAGGGACCGGCCCACGCCTGGCTGTCTGGGGAGACACAGCCTCCCCTAACCGGTCCTCCATACAATTTCAGAAAGCTGATGCAGCCGTCAGGCCAAAAAGTTTGCCCGCCCCTGAAATATAGGCATTCTTCTTTTTTTCCCCTTACTATCTAAGCGAAACATCCAAGTCACAAACTGCTGCATTTTCAAAGGGGTTTCCATTTGGCCTGTGAAATTTTACTTAGACAGTTTTTCACACCTAAGTTTTTTACACTTGCTTAAGCTTGGGATAGTTCTGCTCAAATTTCAGGTAGTTACTGTAGATGCCGAACTGCTTGATTTGCACTCACACACGAGCTGCGTGCTTCAAATTTTGTGAACACTTAACTTTTATCCAGCCAACAGGACATGAGGAAATACTTTTGTTTACAGATGCATGCGTAGAGGATGATTCCAATATTATGCCCTGCAGTGTAAGAAACCACAGAGAATTTAATCTCCAGGAGTAGATCTCCACCCAATAAAGGAAGGAATTGGATTCTTCATTTGTTGGATTTTACATGAGTAATCACAATCATTCTTGACAACATTATTTCATTTCTGTTGCTAATTAAAATATCACTTCAGATAATTAGTTATGTGTTCATGTAATAACGAACTTGTAGGGAATTTGCTTTGCTGTACCTGGCAATATTGAGATAAATCACTCTTTAACCCATCTCCCTGGATTACCTGTTTACGGTAAATGGAATCTTAGTGGACCAGACAGTGGCTTAGAAAACTAATGTTCTCTCAACCATTTGTGTCTCCTAAGGACATGTTTTAGGGTGGCTCTCAATAAATATCAGTGGTTTAAGGGACCTTCAGTATCTTCAAAATGAGTTGTAGGCGTTGATAGGACACTGGAGGTGTATGAGAACACAAGGGAAAGGGCATGTCAAATTAGCAGTCTCAGGCATGTTATATATTTTGGTTAATAAAAGGGTTATTTCCAAATTGAGTGAATACGTGGAAGCTTGTACGTGTCATGATATTTGTCCTCTCCCGCTATTATGTACTTACCAGCAGCAGAGAATACAAAAGGACAAGTAACTCCAGAACCTGGCAATGCTTTCAGTATCAACAGGCAATGCATGAGAAGTTTTGGTGCTGGCTTCCAAACTTTCTCTCCTCCCACCCCCTTTCTTGCTCTCTCTCTTCTCCCCCTTCCTATTTTGGAACAACTGCCAGATATTATTTTATTTTCGCTTTTGCTTCTTATTCCCCCCCCCCCCCCTGCAAATAAGCACCTAATGAATTTTTTAGGAATCAGGAGCTGTGACATGATCTAATGGGGCAAACAACAGGTGTAGGCCTGTATGGGACTTGTGCCTGTGGTGAAATTGCGTGGCTTTGCACTATTCTGGGCATAGGTATTGATATTCACTAAGCATTTGAAAACTGGAAAACTGTGCAGATTATGTTGTGCATCTCCACATATGCGTATGAGCTATATTGGCATGTAAATGTCCTTGTCTGCTGATAAAATTCTATTTTATATCCTACTCCTATGAAATTAATTTACTTCAGACTTTGCCATTGCCCTCTTATTTTAGTCCATACTGATCTTCATCCCACACAAATGTTGTTGTTCTCACATTTTTTGTAAATCACTTACTTCAGACAAGAAGATCATGACACAGGATTTATAGGAAATGTTACTTATGCAAGAAATTTAATCCCACATCCCTCTAAACTTCCTGGGAATATTTTTTTGTATCCCAGGTCCTATTCATGGTAGAAGGTGAGGGATACCTTAATTCTCAAAAGCCTTAATACCTATTATAATTTTCATTGTAACTTCTTTCATTCTAGCTCAAACGTTTTACTTTTTCCTATTATATACATTTAGAACACAAAAGTAAAGAGAACAATAGCCTATGATTCCTTAATAATAGGCTGTTGGATTGAAATAACAATGTTAACTATCCCTTTGTCTCTCTCCCTAGTTATTAATATGTCTTAAAGGTTGTTTTTCAATCCTGAGTTAGAGTCCTTAAGTACCAAGGTTGTGGAGAGCCTGTTTGTATAGACTGATTGTAGGAATTTGAAGTTATATTGTCCAGATTTAATAGTGTTTTAGGAAAACGAATTCTGTACAAAAAGTGTTTCAGGATAGAAGGCTTCCTCAATACTTGAGAGAGACAATCAGCTGTAACTTTTGTGCTTCAAAGAAGTTTCTTGTGTTGTTTTTTATTTCTATTAAGTTAACCATTGATACAGTATGTTATTGGACATTATTAACGCAGATGCAAATAGGTAACTCCAAGACACCTTGAATTTGCTGACTCTACATATGTATCTGGAGTGATTGAAAAAAAGACAAAACTGAAACCTGCTAATTTGTAACACTGACGTAGGTGTTTTTGGTTTTTTTTTAGCCTAGCTGG